AACCATTTCATCTACAACACTTATTTAAAATGTCAACGCCGTACGACAGGTATAGTTAACCATTTCATCTACAACACTTATTTAAAATGTCAACACCGTACGACAGGTATAGTTAACCATTTCCTCTACAACACTTATTTAAAATGTCAACACCGTACGACAGGTATAGTTAACCATTTCCTCTGCAACAATTATTTAAAATGTCAACACCGTACGACAGGTATAGTTAACCATTTCCTCTACAACACTTATTTAAAATGTCAACACCGTATGGAAAATTTCTGCATGAGAATCATGGGTATACAGATTTTGTAAAGAAAATTCAAATAAAATATATCAATGTTACTGAACAGATACCATTAAAGTGTATAACAAAAAAGTTTTGTTAACATTTCATATGAACAGGCAGTACAAGTGCTGGACAGTTACACTAGCAGTGTTGACTATGTCCTAGTAAATAACTGGACATCACTATAAACAAATTTACTCAAGCACGTCATGTCTATACTTAACTATTTCAATAACAGTTTTCTGTTATTTGCCAGGTTAAGGTTTTTTTTGTTTGCAATCTTAGATTCTACAGCAGGAAATATTTATTTTTGGAATGCCAACCCCTTACTCGTGGTCACTCTTTCAATTATGTAATATATCTACAATATTTCTTGCAGTGCCAAAAATCTTAGTTCATAAATGTACATTTTTTTAATTATTTCGATAACTGAGAATGTGTTTCCTGGATTCAAACACCCCAACTTAGAACACTCGTCAGGACCATTGTATTTTAATGCTCTTTGATCATTAAATTCTGACATGGGATGCCTCCGAATTTTTGGGAGTTGTTTCATAACTGGAAATAATCAGAATTGGATCCATGGGTACCATTTTCTTTATTCCACATTTTGATATAAAAGTATATTTTTTATTACTATGTATTCCAGATAAAATAAAATTGAGATCCAATTTGTAACAAAATAGTAGACGTAATGCAAGATATCAGAAAATGGTATTCTAACCAGTGGCTCTAGGGATCCATGTATTGAAATCCAATTTGTAACAAAATAGTAGACGTAATGCAAGATATCAGAAAATGGTATTCTAACCAGTGGCTCTAGGGATCCATGTATTGTGAGAGCACGTCAACTATTCCATCTCTGTTAAATAACAAATCCAATCTAATAGTTAACTTTTCTGGAATGTCACACACTTTGGAACTTAATGGAAGTTTAGCAAAAGCTTTAATTATGAGTGCATGCAAATCAGGTGTAACATTAAGCCTATTTTTAATACTGAACATTTGAGCTTTGGATAGATGAAACATTTTATAGTGCAGTACAATATATCAGCATGTTAGGGCAAGTAAAGCCCATCTCATATTTTAAACAACAAGACAGAGAGTGAACTAGCACTATGTAGGGATGGCATGGACACCCATATTAAAACAATACAAAATCATCTGGATTGTCTTCTCTACATGTCATTAGAAGCTAGATACGAAGAGCTACCTGGCACAGTCCCTTTGTCTCCGGTGTATATGCCACTTTTCAGCTATCCAGAGCATCCCGAAGTCAAAAACTGGCAAATAGCCAAATCTGAGATTTCTTATTTTCGTTCATCATCATCTTTCTTCAACAGGCCTAGCACCTACCTAGTTCTAGTAGTAACTATAATTTTATCATCATTTGATAAACAGTTTTCACAATCATTGACTACCTATATTATTATATGCAATATGTATAAAAATGTACCTAGTAACTCACACACACCATCTTATAGAAAAAAAAAGGAACCAAACAAGATAGGGATGAAAGTGGACATGTTAATTAATGATCACATAGCAGACTAAGCCATCTTGACTTTGAATGGAGAATAAAATCCCTCCACTACTGTCTTCCTCACAAATAGAACCAGAATTTCCAATCATAGAATGTTACCCAAATGTGAAGTAGTATTCTAAAGTTAACTAACGGAAAGGTATAATGATGAATGCAGAGATTCTACTGAAACTCCAAGACAAAATGGGGAAGCCAGTAATGTGGGGATTTTATTGTCCATGTAAAGTCAAGATGGCTTAGTCTGCTTTGTGATCATTAGTTAAATCATGTGACGTGTCCACTTCCATCCCTATCTTGTTTGGTTCCTTTTTATCCAATTTCAGTAGCCAGCCCTACAAAGCATTTTTATCTAGTAATAATATTTTTTTCCTAATACTTGTGTTTACTAAAATGTTTGAAGCTTGACAACTGTGCATATTACAAACAGTCACCAATAATACAGCCTAATGACAACTACAGTCCCTGCTACATTTGTCACTATCTTCTGAATATATTTAGAGAGAAATATATATTTGTGATCAATTCCACCTTATACTTTGATTAATAGTACACAGGTGGCATTGTACTTAACAACTAGACTGAGAAGTTACACAAGTACATTTTGAGATCGAGATATATTAGGTGCATATTCAAATGTTCATGTTTAGACTTCATGGTCATGTAGATTTTAAGTGCTACTTGTTTTTAAACTACACGTTTTAGTCTTACAGCTTAAGAAACTAATCACTATTAGTACTTAGCTGTACCAACATTCAATTTAAGCTTGTACTATTTATACTAATTTCAATATTAAGCTAGATATTTTACAAACAAAAATCAAATTAAAATAATAATATGACTACAATTAGTACTCAACTAACAACTTAATTTTTAAAATATGACTAAACGAATAAACTCACAGATTTTTCTAAATCACGGGTTTAGTATATCTTTAAATTTAAAGCGCAATTTAATTGCAAAGGTACGGGATATATTCATGTGTATGCAAATATTTATGTTTTAAAATATATGAATATGTAAAACTGCATTCAAAGTCATTAACAGTTCTAAAATATAGTACTAAACTATTAGTCAATCTATTAGTATTATGACTCGTTAGCCAAGTTTACTCAGTTACTGTACAAGTACTATTCGTATTACTGTAGTAGTAGTAGTAGTAACATTATTACGAATACCAAACTACAGTAATACATTGAAAATGAAATGAAACTTGAAAGTATGATTAACTGGTGATTAAAATTAAATACTGACCTTTCTAGTACATAACGTACAAATAAAAGAACAATAGCTACAAGCAAACTGTTGTATAATTCACTAAACTGGGCATATACAGCTCTTTCCTGCCGTCTTATAATTTCCCATGTCATATTTTTAGGTAGCCAAACATCTTCACTCCAAAACCAACTATTCAATCTACTAAACACACCTTCCTCCATTTTTTAACTTCTCATCGAATCTCGCTCTTTGTCGAGAGTTTATAACCGGAAACTTGTCACGTGCTACAGCCTCATGATTAACCATTACAGATGCTTTCTTATTTTCCCCGCTCTTAGATTACGCACACGCATCCATATAAAAAACTTGAAACTTAGCAAAGTATAGATTGGGAGTTATTTTTGGGGGTGGGGGGAAGAGCTATCCAAATAGCAGCGTAATATTTTCGAAACTAATCAATTACTAGTGCCATACGAAATACGCGTAAAATAAACAAGTCTAATTACATCAAGTGTATTTTTCTTTTCGATGAGGTATAACTTTTCACCTCATCAAAATATAAATCTCGAAAAAATAAATTGTTTTAACGTCAATAACGATTAAAATTTGCATTTACAAACAATAATCACATACTTTTGTAGAAAGATATTTGATAGCTTTCAAAATATTTAATTATGCATCCAAATATTTCAGATACTTGTTTTAATGTAGGCTTTCCAAGAACTGCTCTGTATATTTCTTGAAATTGTAGCTTAAAGCTTAGTTATATAATTATGTTCAACACGTGACATAGTAGTAGGAATTCTAATCAACGGTTATTTCATATGTTGCAGAAAAAATAGATAACATCTCTGAAAGAGCTTAGGTTATTGGGTTTTGTGGCATTTTCAGATTCACCTTTAAATAATTGGATAAGAGTAGCAGATTTACCCTTAATTAATCAAAGAAAGAGGCTAGACATAACGTATCAGACAATGAACCATCTTTATTATAAAACACGGTCAGAGTTCTAAAGGAAATTGCATTGTGGGCCCTTTACTAGTAATTTACATCTTAAAGTAAGTGGAAAGAACCACTGTTACTTTCCATACAGCACGTGCTATGTTACAGTAATCTTTCCTAATAGAGAACACATGTGATACCTTATGTGAGTGACCTAGTTCGTGAATAACAAAGGTGGGAGGAACTTAGAAGCTCCATAAATGAACGTTCTATATTACGAACACTTGTTTAATTTGCTCAAGAAT